GAGAGAGCGAGAGAGGCGGAGAGCGAGAGAGCGAGAGAGCGGAGAGTAGAGAGAGAGAGGCGAGAGAGCAGAGAGAGTCGAGAAGAGCGAGAGAGCGAGAGAGCGAGAGAGCGAGAGAGCGAGAGGAGAGGGAGAGGGAGAGGAGAGGGGGAGAGAGAGAGAGAGAGAGAGAGAGAGAGAGAGAGAGAGAGAGAGAGAGAGAGAGAGAGAGAGAGAGAGAGAGAGAGAGAGAGAGAGAGAGAGAGAGAGAGAGGAGAGAGAGACAGGAGAGAGAGAGAGAGAGAGAGAGAGAGAGAGAGAGAGAGAGAGAGAGAGAGAGAGAGAGAGAGAGAGAGAGAGAGAGAGAGAGCTCACATCCCATAACCCACACACCCGAACTGTTGCCATCACGAGGTCTTTTAAGGCTGATCTGTGTCTCAAGACAAGGTCATCTGGCATGGGCTGCTTGGCTCCGATGCCATTAGCAGCGTGCACAATCTCCATTTCACGCTCTTGTACCTCCTGACCCGCCACCAAATGTAGCACAACACCTCGCAATTTCATGTCCATTGTTGTGCTGAATAAGCAGGCGAGTATTGCGAAACGGGCGGCTACAAACCTCAAAGAGGACAATTTGAAGTGCTAATGATGTTGCCCGTGGGGCTTTGGTCGTCGCTCTGGACGCCACGTGTCTCAATCCGTGTGTGTGCGACCCCATTAAAGCAGAGACACGCCGCACTAAACGCGCAGACGCTGAAGGAGCGGACGGCCGGGCCGCAGTGAAAGTGATGGACGGCGTCTTGCCACCGCGCTGATGCTCTGCCGCAAAGGTCACAGGGTCAGAGGTCGGCTTGGGGAACCGGATGGTGCTAAGCTGTGGTGTTTGTCATCATGCCGAAGCCCCGCAGGAATTCAAAGCAGATGTAGCTGCAGTATCAGAGCTGAAAGCGAACACGAGCAACGGCGCGTGGATAGGCATCGGCTGTGGCTTCACGGTGTGATTAATACGGGTTATTTGTATTACGAACGAAAAAGTTGCTTTACCTCATGTGTTCGTCTGGTGTGTTAGAATTTACATAACGTTTCGGCCAGTTAATTCCCCGGCCGACCCAGGCGTTATTGAGTCCCGAGAAGAACTAGAGAGTGTGCGGCTATCCGCCATAAAGGCGTCACAACCTGAATTTTCTTCTTAGAATTGATGGGTTTGAACCGGAATAATTGCGAGTCAGCGTTCCACCACTGAGCTAACCAGGGACCACGCGTTCTCCCCGGTTAGTACACTATGAAAAAGTGCACTCTTTTGCATTGAAGGGTGCTCCAGGGCTTGAAAGGATTTTGGATGTATGAGGTCGTCCCAAGATCAAACATGTGACACTCAAATCTGGCGAGGCGCCACCCAGATCAAATGACGTGCTGTTGATGCCTCAAAATGCATCTCCAGACTGGAAGTGCCCCTCTCAACCCTGAAAAGGTGCTCCGTAACTGGAAATGTGCCCCGGCGCCGAAGCCGAAGGCTACAAATTCTTTCTTCACACCTAGCGGGGCACCCCACCCCCAAAATACATGCATCTCCCAGAAATGACGATGCACCCCAGGCCCGTAAATTGCGCTGCCCAGACCGGAAAACACGTGCTTCCGACCAAGAAAGGCGCGCCCGGACCACACCATGTGACGCTCAGGTTTAACAGGATGCTCCAGGTCTAACGTGCCCCCAGACCTGGGAGCAGGCCTAAAGGGCTGAAGAACACTCGCGAGAACCTCTCATGAGGCCTGGAAGGGCGCCCCAGACACGAAGTCCTCCGAGGTTCGAGAGCGCGCATTATCTGAAAGGCACACAGGAGCTGTTCAAAGATATGGGATATTCTCAAGAAGCCAAACAAATTCTTAATTCTTCCCGGATTTCGGCAACTTTAACAGACATGTTTCACATTTCAACACATTGAAACAAGTATCAGATATGATGAAACAAGCTCACTGATAGCTATTGGTGTACTTTAAGTTGAAAAGGTCGTTCTAAACGACACGATCTCTCTGTTAACAGATATCCTCCTCCATACGTCATTGTTTGGTAACGTCATCGTAGCTTGCACAACATTGACTTAGAGCCAAGTGACGGCCGCCATATTTGAAAATCGTGTTTTCAAATGACAGACATGAACTACTACACCATTATATTGTTCTCGGTTTTGATCGTCGC